CTTACGAACGAGATACGTTCCGAAGGATCGTTCGTAAGTTGAATTCGTTCGTTAAGTTGCTTCAGTGCTATATTTTGGATGGAATGTATGTTTAAGGCTTACGTAAGTATGTTTAAGGTTTATATAAGTATAATGAAATGAAGTTTAACTTACTTTTGGAAGATGTACTCGAAGGCTTAAGAAATTGAGGGTCCAAGAGAAGAAGATGAGGGTTGACGAGTCCTTGGAGGGTGTAGAGGGTGTAGAAGCGATCTGACGACGATTGCACAGTTTTCTTCTTTTTCTCATCATAAATGACGCAGTAGCACTGTATACAGATAATGTGCATTGAAAGCATATCTCTGCTGAAAGGTCTCCATGTGAATGAGTAAATGCTTTTGCCACATGCCTTTTGCAAAGTTGCAAGTGCAACATCATTGTTACTGAAGGCAGTTTATGATTTTAAATGTCAATTTCAGTCAATGATTTCATGTGAAGCAGTTGCTGCATGTAAAAGTTGAATCGGTCACATCCAATTGTGCCCCCAAAATGACATGCGCACCAGGAAACACCCGAGGATTTTTTGCTGTTGGATGTGTTTCTAGGATATGCTGGCATCTGAGCGCGACCATCTCAAGCAGGCGCTGGACTTTGTCGTCGGGCAGACTCAAACACTGGAGAAGGAGAAAAATGCTCTTTCGCAGGAGCTGAAGGAAAAGGCCAAATTGCAGGAATTCATCGCCCTTGAGGTAACGAAGGTAATGCGTCAATCAAAATCCTTGAATGATCTTTTGAGTTTTGATGACAGGCGACATTGTCAAAATGATCTCCGTTAAAACTGACATGCAAAAAAAAAAACTCCTAAAAATATGTGGTGCAGTCTGCCATTGTTTTTTGAGATGGTTTTTTCTGGTGCTCTTTTCAAAAGGTTACAATATGCCGCTTGTTTTTGAAACTTTGTCTTTCAAAGCTCCAAGATTCTCTTTGTGAATCAAATGTGCAACCCAACACAATTTCCCGCCTTTGGTCACTTGCCCCGACAATATATTTGACAAAAATGTGCAGGTGGAAAAGCTCAGTGATGCTGTTAAGTGAGGACAATTTCTTGAGTTTTGCCGTATTCTGCAAACTGAGACAAGGAATAATCATTGTAACTTTTATCTCCAGTTATGAACATCTTAAATGAACGTGATACACTACTTAAAAGCGTTCCATTACTTGTAATGAAACACCACACGTTTTAGGATACGTCGGGATGTTGGGACTTTTTATTGATTGTTTTTTTTTTTTTTTAATTTTCTTGAAATGTTGTGGAAATGATCATTTAAAAGTACAAACACTGGCAGAGATTAGAGTGTTGCATATCTTTATCCGTTTCCTAATTGCGAGACCTTGTTAAACATGAGCGGTGTCTGAATATGGGCACCATTCATTCATCATAATGACACAAACGAATATTATAAAAGGTCATTTTAGCAAATGGCACAGAAATCAGTCTCACAAGGAGTGCTTGCTCTCAGAAAGGTTGGTGAACCCAGCGATAAATGTACTTTGAAAGATGAGGAGAGCGAAAACCTTGCCTTGATGTCTGGTGTTGAGATTTCTGCGCAAGAAGTGGTGAGCGCAGCGCTGACAGAAGAGATAGACCAGCTCCGGATGGATGTACAAGAAATTTTAGATCTGGTTGGTTAGCTTTCACCCTGGCACTTGACTAAATGTCTTCATTTCCATTTCAGCATGTTTGATTTGATTTGATTTGATTTTTTGTCCAAGACCGTAGACTCGTAGCTCATTCCGTAATTGTTGTCAAAACAGATGGGAGAGGAAAACAGAACTGCACATGGGAAAAATAACCCATCTGAGACAACGGCTCAAACAGGTGGAAGATCCCCACGCATCCAACTTAGGAAAAGCCTTTTGATGACATGACAACAGAGCTTGAGACACTTCAAACACAATTAGGTTGTCTTTCTCAAAGCAAATAATCGGCACGATATTGTTACCCCCTTCCACCGCCCTCCTTTTGTGGTGACTTCAGGTAATGTGTATCTCTTAGGAGGTTGGGGTGTATGTTGTGGCTTTGCAACCTGTGAAAAAAAACCATGTACTACTTTACTATTAGTCTTTTTATTTGATATACTGTATGTTGACCTTGTTATGCAGAGCTGAGCAGTCCAGTCAGTTCTGATTTGAGCCTCTTCTGTCCTTCAGATTTTTCCGCAGACAGTCACGTTTTGTTGTCCCATTTCAGAAAGAGCAACTTCGGGCTGCACAACAGGAGATCAGTGAGCAGAAGAACCAACCGCAGGGAGAGCTGCAGCAATTTATTGATGGGGTAGATGAATGCTCTGCTTTTTTTCACATGACAAGACAATACAATACAATCCACGCTGATTTATATAGCGCTTTCACAACAGCGGCGGCTGTAACAAAGCGCTTAACAAAACAGTTAACATCAAGTAAAATAATAAACACAACACATCACGTCAAACACGGACAGTCGTGCGGTCCTAACCACTTTTCCGTCACACGCTTTGTTGTTTGAAGCGGTTTGAGATGAAAGAGGAGAGAATCAAAGTGTCCTTTAACCAGTGGATCAGAGACGTCGTGCTCAAAATGTGCACACGTCGGCGACAAGCTAAGTTTCAAAGAAGAAGCTGGAGCATCCATTGACGAAAAAAGAGATTGGTTCACTTCTCCTGTCCCATGGAAATCCATTTCAATTCCAAGCGGCGACTCTCGGTTCCAAATACGCCAACGCTCCTCTCCCCATCCTCAACTTCAGCAGCCATCCATCCAGCCTCACTAACGCCGACTGTCCAACAGCGCCGACCTTTCCGCTGAACAAAACGGGGTTGTGAAAAACGCTGCCCATTCCAGGCGCAAAAAACACAAGTGCCCCATTGCGAAATAACGTTTTGCAGATCATGAAATGATTTCGGCATCGACTGCTTTGCTTTTTCTCGATGTACCGGTAACTGAATTGGGGCATTTGAAACCTTGCTTGTGTGTGTGCGTGTGTGTGTGTGTTAGTGCGCTCTGCTCAAGCGCGAAGGCCCACGTGGGGCAATTTGTTTTTTGTTTTTTTGATACCTGTATGTTAATTGGTCGCTACTTCGCGGATTTTCGTTTATCGCGCGTGGTTTTGGTCCCCATTAACCCAAAAATCGGCAGGGGGGGGCTTGCTGAATGTTTAGTGGAGTGTCATTCCGAAGAGAGGGACCAGCAAGAAGAAAGGCTCGCTCCCCTCTGAGCCTCCGCTTTCTTCTCTGTACCTGTAAGAGTGTCTGGTCCGCAGATCTGAGGCACCGGGCAGGTACGCGGGGGCTCATAGAGGTCAGGTGGGGCGAGGCCATTTAAAGACTTGAAAATGAATAGGAGGATTTTAAAAGGAACTTTAAATTGTGAAGTGATGCCAGTGTAGGAGTTATGTGCCCCCTCTTGCGAGTACCAGTCAAGAGGCGAGCAGCAGCAAACTTCAGTCGAGCCTTCAGGTGCCGCTTTTGGGGGGAGGGCTTTCTTCTTGCACGGCAGCCTCTCTGTCCATGGCGATGCAAAACACACTTGACTGAGGAAACTGACACCCGTGTTCCAGCAGCTTCTAATTCTTGGCAGATCTGCTTTTTGGTGGTTCTCGGTTGACTCTTCAACTTCTGGACCAGTTTTTTCGCAGCAGCAGGTGATGGGTTGCATTTTCTACCTGATCGTGGCAATGACAAAGCAGTATAATAATGCACTTTATACTTCCAAACAGTTGTTTGCACTGTTGCTCTTGGGACCTGCAGCTGCTTGGAAATTGCTCCAAGTGACATGACACAGCTCATTCATGTTTCTGTATTTTTGATTGAACAGAAAAAGTGACCAAAAGAACCAATTAAAGAACCAAATTTCATGTTGTTGGGGGGGTTTTTTTTGTTCAGTTTGTTTTCTTTTTAAATCTGTCAAGAGAAAAATCTGAGTTGTACACATAGCCCCGTGTTCTTTTCAAGTGTTTGTAAATGTTTGATTCACTTTCCATGAAAAAGCCTTCCCTCCACCAAAAAAAAAAAATTAGGGGAAAAAAAATAGCGACTGGATGAATCCACCGGACACTGTAGTAGAGGAAACATGCTTATAATTTCACGTGTGATTTGTCGGCTACTAAATTGAAATATTAGAAGCTGTAACAAAAAATGATCCGAAGGTTGGCACTGAACGTTTTAAAGCTTTCTCTGTAATTCACGACCATGTTTTGTTTTCTTTCCAACATTTCCCTCTTTCCAGGCAAGAGCTTCAGCAAAAAAACCTAAGTGCGCTGAGGGTGACCAAGTGAGGTCCCTCGTTGAGGAGGATGCTCAGTTGCGGGACATGCTGGAGAGATCAAATCAGGAAAAAAATCCGTTAGCAGTCAAGCTGGACGATGCGACAAAAACACATCAAGCGGAGGTTTGTTCCATTAATACTGTCAGATTTGTTTCCAAAAAATGACTAAACAAAGGCATTGACTCTCATTTTTCTTAGATGATAAAGCATTTAGCTGAAAAACTCCACCAAGTTGAAGCTGAGAGAGACATTCTACAGGCTGACCAGGAAAGTCGAGGTCAGAGCACCGCTGATAAAGTGCGGAAGCTGAATCGCACGGTGAGGTCTCTCACGGAGGAGCGAGCTGAGTTGCAGAATACGTTGGAAAAACTTGAATTGGAGACTCATTTTTCTTGGAAGATGAGGCATTTAGCTGAAAAACTCGACCGAGTCCAAACGTAGCTGCAGGACAAGCGACGCACGGTCCAGTTTTGTAGTCGTGTTTCATTGTAATTCAAAGCCAGTTGCTTGCTCAAAATATAAACTCCTATGGAAGGCATTGACTCTCATTTTTCTTGGAAGATAAGGCATTTACCTGAACAACTCGACCGAGTCAAAACGGAGCTGCAGAACAAGAAAAGCACGGTACAGTTTTGTAGTCGTGTTTCATTGTAATTCAAAGCCAGTTGCTTGCTCAAAATATAAACTCCTCTGGAAGGCATTGACTCTCATTTTTCTTGGAAGACAAAGCATTTAGCTGAAAAACTCCACCAAGTTGAAGCTGAGAGAGACATTCTACAGGCTGAGGAGGAAAGTCGAGGTCAGAGCACCGCTGATGAAGTCCGGAAGCTGAATCGCACGGTGAGGTCTCTCACGGAGGAGCGAGCTGAGTTGCGGGACATGCTGGAGAGATCAAATCAGGAAAAACATCAGTTCGCAGTCAAGCTGGACGATGCGACAAAAACACATCAAGCAGAGGTTTGTTCCATTAATACTGTCAGATTTGTTTCCAAAAATTGACTAAACAAAGGCATTGACTCTCATTTTTCTTGGAAGAAAAGGCATTTAGCTGAACAACTCGACCAAGTTGAACGAGTCGTAGCTGAGAGAGACATTCGACTGGCTGAGCAGGAAAGTACATTTTGGAGTTCCACTGAGGAGCTGGAGGAGTGGAATTCTCTCACGGAGGAGCGAGCTGAGTTGCAGGATACGTTGGAAAGCTTGAATTGGAGAAAAAAACAACTCCAAACGAAGCTGCAGGACAAGCAAAGCACGGTACACTTTTGTAGTCGTGTTTCATTGTAATTCAAAGCCAGTTGCTTGCTCAAAATGTAAACTCCTTTCAGACCATTTTTGAAGCGCTGCATTATTGTTGATCGTCAATCGCAGGTCCCCATGATGCAAGGGAGTGCGGTTGAGCAGAATTTGTTCAGTTTGCTACAGCGGGCCGAGGCGACAAAAATGGAGACCGACCTTCTGCGGGAGTTGGTCTCAGTCATAGGCTTTTTCAACTTTGTGCAGATCGGTTGTGTCAGATTACAAAGAATAGAGCATCTTGTAGAATGTACATCTTCATCAAAACATGACAACAGTACATATTTCCTTCATCCTCTCAATGCTTTCAGTCAGGGTAGTCTTAACAAGTCCTGTAAACGTTTCCCTGGGCCTCCAGGTACAGCAGCGGGAAGAGCAGCTCAACACAATGAAGGAAAACGAAACGGCGGTTCAAGCGGAGGCAATCGCATCGCAGCAGGTTTGCTTCAACTCACTTTTTATTCTGTAATCGCGAGATACTTTACATAGCGGGTAGTGTGAGGGACACACGCGCTCCCCGCCCGCAAAAATAAATGTTTGTTTTTTTTGCTACTGTACACAACATCGTCAAATGTGCTGGCTGCTCTTTTGTATGTTGTTTCAATGGAAAAGGTTTGGCAAATGTTTTGAAACACTCGAAGGATGGATTGGCATTGACTTAAAGGGCTTCTATCATGCTATTTTTATGCCCCGCTCCTTCATGATGTCATCCTAATGCTGGCTGCCGTGTGCACAAAACGGTAAATCGTAAGAACGTGTGTTTTTTTAGGCTTACATCCTCGATCCAGAGTCAAGTAGCAGTCCAGTCGATATCCATCAACGATGGACTATTCATTTGTGCACATGGTCACGCGTATAACAAGTCATAGCATTTTTCAATACCACACGGTGTCACCAATTGGCTCGCGGCGTTTGGTTGACTCACAGCTCTGGCCTCTCCAGCAGCTTTGATTGTGGGAATTGCGCCGGTTTTAAGGCTTCATCTGCCGACCGGTCCGCTTTGGTACTGGCCAAGGTTCGCCGGGCCTCTGAGAAATCATCGATCGCAGACGAACCATTGCCGAATGGCCTGTCGCTGGTCAGGTGGGGACGTCACTCATCGCGCCTCTTTCCCAGCTCGTCTCGTCGGGCATCCCGCTGGCTGCTTGAAGAGAGCGAGTGCGTGCGCTACGGGGTGGCTCCCTCAATCTTCCATGCGGCTGCTATTTAAGAATGGTTTGCCATGGGGCAATGCCCAGACATGGCAAGATGAATGGAAGAAAAAACACCACCGTGGGGGTGTTTTTGGTGAGGAGTGAGGACCTTTTTACTTGGCTTAAAGCTCAAGTTGATTTGGTCTAAATAATAGCTCTTTAAGTGTGGTCTATTTTGCACAATGCACAAAGAAAACCTTGATTTGTCTCACAATGGAGAAATTCCCAATTTGCAGCAAGCAGCAAAAAAATTCTGAAAGGGAGAAGTCAAAGAACAAAAAGTATCTCAATAAATAAACATAAAATCGAGATCTAAGCATATTACAAATGGCTGAGTGAGGGTGAGTCCAGGTTTGCAGGTCTGTCCGTTCAATAGCCTGACAGCAGTCGGCAGCGCGCGTGTATCGGTCTCTCGCCGAAGGATCTGCCCGGTGCTGTCAGGGTGGCCTGAAGGGGGTTGGGGGAGGGTCGCTCCATCATAGCTTTGAACTTGGCTAGCATTCTCCCGTCGCCCGCCTCCACCGGAGTGTCCGGGGAGCGGGACAGGACAGAACCGGCCCTCCTGACCAGTCGGTCCGGTCTCTCCCTGTCCCGGGCTGAGATGCCGCCTGACCAGCAGAATATGACATCACCAAGGTCTGAGGCCACCGCAGAGTCAGTCACAGAAGGTCTTAAGGAGTGCCCCCTGAAATCCAAAAGACCTCAAATTTAAATTGAACAAGGAATCCGTATCAGAGAAAGGACCAGGTTCTTAAGGCTGATGCAGGATGAGCACGCCTGGCCGCCATTTGTTGTCAGTCGCATACTTTGTCTGCCGATCTCGATGTCTGCGCTTTGTGCAATCTTTCCTTGATTCTGATACATGACAGCGAGCATGTTGTGCGGTAGAAAAGTCCGGATTCAACACCAAAAAAAAAAAAAAAATGACGGCAACCGCAACGAAACAGCATGCAGCCTCATCTCGAGAAAAAAAATGACGGCAACCGCAACGAAACAGCATGCGGCCTCATCTCGAGCAAACATGCCCGTGCGTATTGTGTGCTCTGTTTCCGTGTTGCTGCCGTGTGCCTGTTTCTGTGTTGCTGCTGTGTGTGCAAGTACCAGTTGTTCAAAGCTTGACCATAAAGGTATCTGTACTAACTTGTAATTGGCTGGGAACCAGTTCGAGGTGTGCCCCCCGCGACAGCTGGGATAGGCTCGAGTACCCCCGCGACCCTCGTTGAGCAGATCAGACAATGGATGAATTGTTATCGATGCTCACTTCCATTTTGCTTAAATGGGACACCCTGCAATATATTGTAGCAGTAAGATGGCAGACGTTTATTCAATTCATTGTTTTATAATCCAGTGTGGAATGCGGATGAGGGTGGAACATAACCCCATGATAAATAGGGATTCGCTGGATGCTCGAAATCTTCCAAGCACAATATTTATAAGTAGCTACGTGATTGGACTCATAGTCTGAAGGTATGCGTTTTTCAGCATGACCAGATATGCATACAGGCAGGAAAGACTTTTTCTATTGATTTTTTGTTTTTTAAGTTGGCATGATTTTTATGAGCAAAATTGTAACATTTTATCTTCATCAGGTTTTGTCTCTCAAGAAGAAGCACCTTGAAGAGGCCCAGAAAAAAAAATGATTCTGGCTTCAGGATGGACGTTGAGCGATTCATCACAAGACTTGAGGCAAGTCAGGTCAGAGCAGAAGAAATGATTAATGCCTGCAAAACACTGAAGAGCCAGCTGCAGGAGTATTATCTT